TTGTTATCCACATATATCGATATGAAATGTTATAATACGGTCTACCTAAAATTTCGGAAAGTTTATGCCAATCTTTTTCAAAAGCGTCCACAATACTATGGTAGGCTACTGTACATTGTGATAAAAGCATCGGATTTTCTGTCAAATAAACGTAAATAAACTCTTCTAAATATACCGCAAGTAATATAGAATTTTTGTTAAAAATACAATGCCATCCATCACTTCCATAGAGAAGGTTTGTATCTAATTGATATTGTTTTCCTTCACTTCCACAAAGATGGTTTATATCTAATTGATATTGTTTTTCAAGTAATAATGTATTTAAATTCCATTGTGTTAACGAGTTACATTTATCAAGAAGCATTATCTTTTCTTTGTCACTTATATAACAACGCACTACATCCTTTCCACAGGAAATTAAATTATTAATCATCCAGCTTTGCTTATGTAAATTTTTATATGAAAATTTAAGAATAAGGTTGTCGTCAAGATCGTTAAGATAATTGTCATAATATGTACGAATATGCATCACGAAATCTTCGTTGTTATAAAATTTATATCCAATAATTGCCCGATTATTTGAATATGGATATAATTCTAAATTTACCTCCTTCCTGGTGGCAAGATCAATAAACTCTTTAAAAGAATAAATGTTTTGGAAATTAGTTTTAAGTATTGCAAATATTGTCAATTATCAATTATATTATTTATTTGTCACTAACCAAGGTGGTGCGATCCTAATCTCATTGCGACAATTTTATTATTTGAAACTGCACTTAATGAGTATTCATAACCAAATTTGATAGAACAGTCAAACTCAAAGGATCTAGGTTGATATGATTCATTTGCGGATTGTTCTACTGATTGCTCTAATGATTCCTTTGCAGATTGTTCTACTGATTGCTCTATGGTTTGATCTTTAAGTTGCCATCCGCAAATTGATTGATCATCTTTGCTCCATGTTGCTGCGTACTTGCTATTTGGTGATAGCACTAGTTGTGTTATTTTCTTGCCATTGTGTGGTTTAGGTGCTTCAGGTTCTATTTCAATTTTTTCTTCATGTTCGGACTTTGACGTTTGTGAATATTCACTTTCATTGATCATTTTTGAAAAAAAATAAAACAGTTCGTACACGATTTAATTCTTTAACAAAGTATATTATTCAGCATCCGGTGTTTATATCGGCTTGGTTAAATGGCTATTGCGACTTAGCCGACATAAACAACTTAGCTGGCTAAGGTCTAAGGTTTATTAATTTAGAAAATCACAAATAATAAACATAATTTTTAGCTTATATCAATTATGAAAATTTACGAGATTTCTCACATATTATTGCATATATAAATCCGGTTTATTTACTTTAAAACACACAGACATGAAATAATTCGTTTTATATTGTATAGTCAATGTATGTATTCAAGCTTTGACGCTTATATTTGTTATGTGGCTTTTTTATGCACCAGAACCATACTCTTACGTTTAACACGGCCAAAAAGAAGCTGGGCATACCATAAAAATTGTCATGGAGTAAATAGTACATTAGTCATTACAGAATCAATTATTAGTTGATTTTAACATATATACCATTTTTGCTCCTTATGTTGGCACACAATAAGATAATTGAGACTCTCATATATATGTTATTATATATATCCTTTCATTGATCTTTTTTTAAATTAATAATTTTAATAAAAAAGACCATAAAATTGTTTATGTTATCATATTATAGCATACACAGTATATATGCAGCTTAATTGGCATTATAGTACAGTAGATAACACATGAGTACTGTAAGGGAAAACCTCAAACCGGAAATTTATTTACTAAACTCAGCTTACTCAATTACGTATCAACGTAATATATTTAAATTCCCGGTTTGGTATTTTTTTTGGTGGCACTCTTACGATATGACCGTGATTCCGATAACCTAATTTGCTTCATGGGTGAACATTTGTATGATCGGCTGATATAAATCATTTTTAAAAAAACTTTCACGCAAATTTATTACGCAGATTTATTATCATGGTTTGATTAGTGAAAAATATAAATTTATATAGTTAAAATTTTGTCATATTTCTTTAAAAAGAAGCACCCTTTTTTATTTGGAAAAAGTTTAAATCTAATCTAAGACACTAATCCTAGATGAAACATTGCGCATTCTGAAATGATGTCCAGTTATGGCCTATTGGCTAATTGTAAGTTATAACTTTATGACCTATTATGACTTATAAAATTTACTATTACATTATGACTACCTTGGGTCATATAAAGTTGGTTATGACCTCACTAAGCCATAGTGGTCTTTTTTTGAATTATTAAAGAATTGAAGTATGATGGTATGCTATGATTATCTATTTTATTAGCATTCTTGAAGTAAATAATTGTGGCGGCTTATGCTGAGATTGGCTTATGCTGAGATTTGGGGTTCTCATTTAAATCCCTAACAGCTACTAAAATCCACATATACTTTTTTATTATAAATACTAACCCTAATTTCTAACCTAACTATAAAAAAAAAGGACTACAAAAAAGGCCAAAAAATTTTTGTAATTTTGATAATAAAATAAGTCAAATTCCCAGCATAAGCCAATCTCAGCATAAGCTGCCACAATAATTATTCTGTATTGTTTGAATGAAAATTAATTCAAAATAAACAAAATCAAAATCTGATAAGTACATAAAACCAAACGTTTCAACACTCATTAACATATTATTTATTTCGAAATTTCATCCATAACTTTAATCCTGGTATCTTCATCTCTTGGCATACTATATTTCCAATAATACAATCTCAGACACTGCCTTGCACTTCTAGTTCCAACATCCTCACTGATCTTTCTCCACAAATCCATCCATTCTTCAATTTCACATAAAGTCCATTGATCAGCATGTTTTTCTAACGCAAATTCAAACTTCATAATTTCATCATCAGTCCAAACACCAGCATTAACTTGTTCTTTACCATCATTGTTCTCAATAGCAGAATTATTCCGAATTTTATGAGTATCATTAACATTTCCACCTATACCATATTGTTTCCAATTATGTTTAACTTCTTCTAAAGTTCTATCGGGAAATTTTTCACCAAATATTTTCATAATCAAATTCCATTTATTATCAGAAATTTTTATTTTTTCATTTCCAAAGTTAACACCCATAATTTGTTTGATCGCATAATGTAAATGTGCATTTTCCTCAGGTGACCAAGTTTTACTTGTTATCCACATATATCGATATGAAATGTTATAATACGGTCTACCTAAAATTTCGGAAAGTTTATGCCAATCTTTTCCATAAGTTTTTATTAGTCTTAAAAGAAGATCGTCCTCTTGTTGTGTCCATCTCATACGCGGTTTCTTTGGTTTCGAAGTATTCGGAACATTCTTTGTCCAACGGCCTGATGATGATCTTGTTAATGTGTTTGTAAATTCGAAATTATCTATGATACGATTTTGAGGAATGTACATTAAAGAAATATTTTGATAAATGTTTTTAGTTTGTTTTTTAAGATAATTTCATCAAGAATCGATTCTCGTGTATATCTGTTATTGTTAAAATTCGGCACATGCTTTTTTTTTCGCATATCAATAATAAGTGGAAGGAAATAATCAACAGCAGTTAAAAACTTTGATGATATCAGATATACAAAAGAATTGAAAAAGCCATCTTTTTCATAGTTCAACCAAGAATTCACCTTTCGATTTTTCGAGAAAAGGAGATGATGACAGGCCACGAAAATATGAAAATCGTTTAGTGCGTGATAACCTGAAAAACAATACAGATGAAGACAGAAAGCGATACATGTTTAACTTATTGTATACTTAAATGTAAATCAAAATTAACAACGATAGATTTCTTGATGGCAGATTGTCAAGTCTGTGTGACAATAAAATATATGAGTAATTGTGTGACCAAACATATGAATATATTTTTTATTCGATTTCGTTGTTCTCGAGTAATTTAAAAGTTTAAAAATTTATTTAAAAAAATTGAGTCACAGATGGATGGTAGATTTCTTACAGACATAGAGTCAAGAGTAGAGGTACAGGCGAATCGTCCCAATGATGCCATAACTTTGCCGTAACTATATTAAATAATTATAAATAGTTACGGCATGTTTGCCGTAACTTTTTATGATTATTTAATATAGTTAGTGTCAAGAGTCAAAAAATGATATACATAACAACACCAGATCAATTCATCGAAGACGAAGAAATAATAAAGGTGAAACTTGACAAATATTGTCAAACATAAACATAAAAAATTGAGAAAGTGTCTACGCGCTTTAAGGAAATAGTCTTGGGAATAATTACAAATTTTTGTTACGTCGAAAAACCCATATATAATTAGATTTCATACCACTCTATCTGATATAAGATTGAAATTTTTTTTTGATTCTATACTTAAACGGAGATATGATATGCTAAAGCCTTGTAATAATTACTTGATTTTTTTTAATTATCATTCGATTAATAATAAAATTACAGTGCTTTAGCAATCTTAATAAATGGTAGATATTTAGAATCATCGAATAAACATTTTCATGATTTGATTTTAATGTTAATACTATTCTATATATACTATTGAATATATTAAATATTCATGTAACAAATGATTATTCGCACTATCAAACGTTAGATTAACACTCACCTTCTCACTTCTTAATACTGATGAAATACTAAGATGTTTAAATGTCTCGGTGAGCCAGCATTTAGCATTAGAGTGAGATTCGTTGTTTCGGACTAAGATTATATCAGATATAACACTTGTATTGTTATTTTCTGGAAGTCAGTATTGTTATATACGTCACAGCATATATTAACATTTAATGCAAACGAAATACACTTAAAGATATTACATGTATTCTAATCCAATTTTATTAATAAATTATATAAGATTCGCAAAAATTTTTAAATTTGAAAAAAAATATGGCACTTCATAATAGGACGTTAATATATTGTGTACTATAAAAAAAGATTAATAAACGCCAAATAAATGTCAAATAATGGTTAATGCCTACCAAATATTTCAAAGAAGCTGGTACATCCACGATTAGGGATGTTACAGTCCAGTCTTGATCCAGACCGTGGTCCAGGACCGATCCATAAACCGGTCTATCGGCCGGTCTTCAAAATAACTAAGTTATTTCGTTTTTTAATGATCGCTACATATAAAAAAATGCAAAGCTTTATTACGTTAATCAATGGTGGCACTACCAAATTATTCGAAAAACTTGATATACAATATTATCGATATTGATTTGTAATACACTATATTAACATCGTTTACAGCTGTTTTTATAAATTCTGGAACACCTAACAATTTTCTTGTTTCCAGAAACCTTTTCAATCTCTTCTAGGGATCATCTAACTTTTTGGAAACTACTTCGCTGTGTTGAAATTTGATACAGAGACGGCAAAGTAGTTTCCGAAAAGTTAGGTGATTCTTAGAACAAGATCGATGAGGTTTTCGGGAGACGAACAAATTTTCAGGTGTTCCGAATTTATATAACATATAAATTTGTCTTTTTTTATTTTATATCTAAAAATTAACTAATATTCACTCTTCAGATTTTTGACTTACAGGTATTATCCGGGACAATCGAATCAATAAGTTACTTAGTTAGGGTCGACATCAGAAACTTATTTGTTTCGTTCATCGGCAATTTTTTTTTTTTTTTTAGCCAATGAGAGTATTCTATAAACCATGGACGGGGGAGAGCCTTAGTTAATTTTGTGAATAGATTTAACTTCGATCGTATACAAGGATAGATGTTTTAACGAACTATTCTTCCAATTTATTTTATGCGGGAAGATTTCAGGTTCAAAAGGTGAATAAGCCGTGTTCACGTGATTATGATACGTATAACAATTTCTATGCACAGGTTTCAGATAAGTACTCAAAGAAATGTAATTGTTCACCAGTGGTTTAAGCAAATGGGGTTTCTTTATTAACGTTTCAATTTAATACATTCGTTATAGGAATAATGCACTTAGAACATATTTGTTTCTCCAAACAAATAAGCACCAAACGTTCTGCCCCTTTATTTAGTCAAAACCTTTCCTTTATATACTTTCTAACTCATAACGGGGTCATTTTGCCCTTACAAGAAACGTTTAACGCCTTCTGAGGGTTATTAACCTTCATCAAGGGTTTTTAACCCTCACCGGGTTTTATTACCCCTCGTTGGGGGTTATTTCCACCTAACTGCGCCCCAAGCCATTTACCCAAATAGTGAACATTTACTAATCAAATAAAATAAAAGAAAAATAATGTATATACTTAAACTAAATACAGAAAAATAAAAAAAATAATGATCTCCATTTCCAAGCGTAACACCGAAAACTGCTTTCTTTGCAGGACCGTAACATCCCTATCCACGATAAAAGGTATACACGTATAATAACCAAGGCTATCAATAAAGAAAGATACGAAATACGTACCCGATTTCTCATGCGAACTAGATATACGGTAGAAACTGTTATGGCTTAATTACCGCATGAGACGTAACAGTTTTACCGCATATCCAATTTCTGCAGAAATACTAACCTTTCTCTTCTAGCTTCAAAAAAGATGGTTTTTAAAAAAAATAGATCATAATGCGATTCAAATAAGTTTATACTTAGTCAAAGTATTTTAGAAAATTAAAGAGGCTCCGTTCTTCGGATTGCTCAAAAAATGTCATCGATGAATTATTTCGTTTCTGCTATGGACACTTTTTTGTACCGTAGATTAAATAATTAAAAGTCACCGTCACGAAAGAAAATTTTCATTAAAAAAAAAACAGATCGAGTTATGAATAAATATGACTTAAAAAATTTCATTGCCTATTCATGTATGTTAAGGATCGACAACCAATCAAATGTGTTTTTCGCAAGTACGTACGTACATACAAAGCGCGCGACACGCGTACGCGTGCGTGAGATTTTTTTTTTTTAACATAATCTACAATTCGGTGTGTTTGTGAAAACAATAAAATACAATTACGGGTATTCAGTTCCTGATGCTTCGTGCAAATACCAAACACAGTGCAGAATTTGAGAGTATCAATAAAATATACCGATAAGTCCCTTTAATTGTGAGGTTAAATTCTTGACTGCCGTTTCAACAGGCCATCTCGAAACTTTTCCAATTTATTACGCTTTAGCTATCAAAACAATACCTACCCGAGCGTAAAGCGAACAAAAAACGATAATCTTTATGACTGTCGTCACGAAAGGTTCAAATAGAACTTGTTTTCTAATGTGCCACCATTTTCGTGCTGGTTCTGGTTGATCTCGGAAATTCAAACAATCAAGCGAAAATAATACATCGGTTTATCGGTTTATTATAAAAATTAAGATATATTGTGCATAAAAATGAAAATCTACCAGAAGCCAAAATTTATCAGCTATTATTAGCGCAAACATAGCCAACTGCTAAAACTAAGATTTGATTATCGTCCGACAGGCAAAACCCACTGATACTCACTAAAACAATGACTATTAATTCAAAACTTAAGATTTAACCCATTCTATGCGTACCAAAGTGAGGATTAGGCCACTCGCTAAAAACTTAAGATTCTAATTAAATCTTACCGTTACTGAAAACTTCACCTATGAAGGTGGAAGAGAGCGAAAGGAAAAAAACCAGACAAAGCCGGGTTAGCAGACAAAATAGGAATTATCTTGTTTAGGAAAAAACCCCCGTCCCTTTAAATATGTCCTAACAATTACAAATCAAAGAAACCATGTAATTACATCGTTACCATGATTATAACGATCACTCGATCAAAAATACTACGAATTATGTATCTATATCAACACGACTAACAAATCGAAAAAACTGTCACTTCGTCATTACAGATAAATGATATTTAATAGACATAAAATTCGCAAGAATTTTTATGGATATTTTTAGCAAATTATTTTTATGAAAATTTTTCTAATAAAAAAAAGCCAGTTTAGAGTAATATAATGGTAAAGGCAGCAAAGAACATTGAATTTTTTAAGAGGGGAATTGAATCCAATCTTTAATGATGAAATACGATTATAGTCTAGTAATTTGATTCGAATAATTATTATCGTTATATTATCGTTATATCGGTCGATTCCTCTAGTAAGCCTTAATGTTAATTGATAATTAATGACATGATACGATTAAATAAAAGTCAAATTAAAAAGGTCATTGAAATAGTCAAATTTGTTAAATATGTAGTATATAGTTAGTGAATACATAAAAAAAATCATAAGCATAAAAGGTATATTCGTTGTTTAAAAAATATGGTTAATAATAATGTGTTTAATACTCATTTTTCTATTAAATCACATATATCATTAGGCAAAACTTAATGAAATGTGAAACTTAG